TTTTCTTGTTTATTCAATTTCTTCGTTTTGAATCCCTTTGGATGTTTGGCTTCCGGAAAATGAGAATAAACATAACATTTTTTCTTTTTTTTTTTTTTATACTCGTACATTCCACTTTTTTCTACATTTTTTTGCTGAAAATAATTTAAATATTCAAAATGAAATTCAAAATTCCAGATCTCTTTTTTTTTTTCCTAATTGAATTTAAAGGTTTCTAAATTATGTTTTCTCCTATCTTTTTTTCCCTCGTTTATATATTTTTACATTTTAACTAGTATTTACATAGGTCTGATATTAAGGATGCTGGTGTTGGTTTTCTTACACTGCAGGTATTGTGGATAAAAAATCATTTTCTATATTTAAATTAACTGTGAAATTTTTGTGCCCTTCAATTCGATAATTGTTGCCGTATAAATAAAATATGAGATTTTTTCCCCTTTAGTGGTCAAAAGCTCACATTTCGAATACAATATCTTTTGATAATTTAATATATAATTGTTTTTAGTATAATTAAGCACACAATGAGTGTTCATTTCATGTGGAGCATTAAGGTACTTAACATATTTTCTAAATTAGGGAGTTAATAAAGCTAGATCATCAGTACAAGTTTTAAGACTACAAAAATTTGAAAAATTAAGTAAATTACAACAAGGTAACGAGAATTGGCTTGTGTAAGGATTACTTTAAAATAATTGAAAACTATAGGTTTATATTTTGTTTTTTTTTTTTTTATTATTATAGGATATTTAAAAGTTTTTAGAAAAAAAAAATATGAAAAAATATTAAAATTTTCTATAATAAATTAGAAAAATATGTTTTTTTTTTTTTTTGCGCTTTTGGGCAAATTTTTAATTCAATTTGAATTTATTTTGAATTATTTCATATTATCTATTTGCATAACATGGGATTTGATTTTCCTTTCTCTGCTTTTTTCATTATTTTCTAATTAGTTACATTGTTTTTTAATTAATTTTTTTTTTTTTGTAATTTATTTTTTATTTTTTAGGGAAAAATATGATTAAATAATTTTGTGTATTTGATTGTTATAATTCGTTTTTTTTATTATTTTCGAATATTTTTTTATTTTTAATTTTCATAATTATGATGTTTTTTTAATAATTTATTCAGGAACAGGCAAAATATGCTATTTTTATTTTAATAAGTTGTAAATTTTTATTATTTTAATTCGGGGATAAAAGAAATGATGAAAGCAAAAAAAAATTAAGCTCATTTCAAATGAATTTTGTTATTGAATTATTATTTTTAATTAAGGAAAACATATAATGGAATTACAATAACTTTATGATTTCCACGAATTTTAAATTTAATTTAAAATTTTATATATTTTTTTTTATTTAATATTGCATTTAAAATTCAAAACGCATTTAAATTTATCGCTGAATATGAAATTTTGAAAAATATTATTGTTGTAGTGTAGAATAATAAAATAAATATTTTGTCAAATGTAATTGAGTTTTTCAATCGCAAATGGGTGTGTAGAAGCAAAGTTGCCATTATACAAATTGTTTGTATAAATTTTAGGTTTTTATAACTGATTAAATTTACCAATGATAGATGGTTTTGACAGATAAAATCTGTCAAAAGAAAAGTAAAGATTAACAAAAATTATTTTTGTGTATAAAATATGCCAAATACAATTAAGAATAACGTACTTTATGTTGATTAAATTCGGAACAAGGAGAATCAGAAAGGAAGAGAAAAACCCGTTTTGTTTATAACTATTTAAATTTTAAAGTATATTTTCTCAGTAACAAAATGATTTTTTAGTTCTCCTCTTCCATTCGTTTGGAACCGTAAAATAGTGCTAAATAAATTATTATTGTATATTGGTTACACAATTAAATGACTTATACCAAATAGAATGATTTACATCTCTGAAAAATTTCCGCTTTAATTTTTTTATCCGCTTTAATTTTTTTATCCGCTTTAATTTTTTTATCCGCTTTAAGTTTTTTAAATAAAGTACCAAATTAGTGTAATTTCAATTCAAAATGAGGATGGATAGTCGTAAAACATGAAGTATCTTACAGTAAAAATCATAATCATTATGATTTCGATAAGTATAGAAGTCAAATAAAGCGACGACAATAACTAAATTATAGTTATATTATTGTAGTTATTTTATTAAAATATTGTGATCGTTAGGATAATTTTTATATTAAGTGTTTCAAATCGAACTAGTATAGGAAACAGAATTTTTAGAAATTTTAAAAAGCAATGGTATTAAATTTGTATTGAATTTGTGAAAGAACAAAGAAAACTTCTAGATACAAGAAATCCTAAACTTCAACATGGTACTTAAGAAAATCTTTTATTTTTAAATTTATTTATTAAAAAACATTATTTAATTAAAAAACATATGTGCACGTTATATGTATGTATGTATATAATTTTAAATATAAAGTTGAAAAATAATTGACACAAATAAAATTACAAAATAATATTTGAAGATTTTAGTACTTATGTATGTATGTGTACACTTTTTTAATCTAGAAACTTTAAAATTGCAAACAATAGCTAATCATAATTTAAAATGAGAAATGCCGGAATAAGTGTTTAACATAAAAAAAAGGAAATAATTTAATTTAAAAATTGAAAGATTCAAAAGCACACAGTTGCATATATTTTAGAAATACTAAAATATTGTTATGTAAGTGAATGCATATATGTACATACAAAGTGAATAAAGTTAAAAATGTCCTGAAATAATTTAATCAAACATTTTTGAAAAATGTAAATGAAATAAGAAAAAATATCTTTTAATTAAATTAAATCTTTCTATTAGCTACACATTCTAAATTTCAAAAATAGAAGCACATTAATTGAATTATATAAAATAAATCTGTATTTACATTATGTTATATGATGAATACTAATTATATATACAATTTTCAAGCTTAGTAACCTAATATACAAGTCTCTTGGAAGTTGTATTTAGAAGTGACTTTGATAAACTCAAATTTTACTTACTTTATTCAATGTTTGTGGCAATATTTCACGGATTCAAATTTCATTATTCGTTAATTGCCTGACTTATTTGTATAGATCAAATGACTTAAGTTAGAGTATTTGAGATAAAAGAAATATTCTTAGGATTCTTAATAATTTTAAATGTAATATTAACAAAATTTTTTATCAGATGTGAAATTTAAAATTTTTGGAAATTAACTTATTTTTTTCAAAAAACAAAAAGTACTAGTAGAACAACTGTTTTTCATACTGTCATACTAAAAACAAAATATATAATAATTATGATAAAAGATCTTTAATCTTATGAGTTATTTTATTCTAGTTTTGAAATTTTTTTATTATATACAGGAATTTTTTTAAAACTATGGTTTGTTTACCACTCTACATTATTGTTTTTCCTTAAATGAAAAAGTTTCAATAATTGCATACTTTTAGGCAAAAACGTAAAATTATATTTTTCCAAATTTTTTAGATAAAACTTTTTATTTATAAGAATTAAATGAGTATACGCTCCTAGCATAGGTGAATGTATATATACATATGTACACAATATACGTTCATACAATACATTCTAAGAATTAAGATATTTTGTCAAAGAAGTATGTATATTATGTATAGCTAAGTACTCGTATCATACATATTCTGCTTAAGTGAAGTTCTATATGTAGTGAAGTAAATACATAATGTGCATATTTCAGTATACATACATATATGGTTATAAATATACTACATATACTATAAGAGTTTCATAATACAACTTAAAACGTATATAAATTAGAGCAAAAAAAAAAAAAAACTTATATGAAATAAAATTCTTTTTGAAATGAGAAATACTTAATCCAAGTTATTTGTTTGTGTTTCTTAGGTTACGTACGAGTAGTACAATATAAGTTTAAATCTTCAAAAAAATATTTAGGTTTCTACAATAATATATTTTATGAGCATATATTATAACTGTATGTATGTATAACAATATAAATAAGGATTCCATCTAATCGTAATAATTAATTTCAGCAAACGAATCTAATTTATATCTTTGGGAAAATTTTCAATTTAATACCTGATCGAAATCTTTGATCATTTGTGTTAAACACATATTTTATAACATATATTATATAAAATATTATATGAATGTGTATTTATGTATACGTATATAAAAATTTTTGTGATAAGTATGTAAAATAGTAGGTATTAAAGAATTTGCTTGAATTCAATAAAAAAGTTTTTAAAGTATTTTTGTTATTTTAACATTTTATTGTTATATGTACATGGTTCTACACATATTTTATTTCGTTCACTTATAAAAATACGATATTACAATTATCGTATACATGTATGTACATAGTCGTTTCTATATCAAAGTTCAAGTGGAAATGGTTTATCCTTTACTTTATAGGTTATTATAAAAATACGAAATTGGTAAAAAGTTTTCGCTATATGATCACAAACTTTTGTTTTTATCCTTATCATGTGAACGAATTAATTGAAATGTGTGTTTTCTTCGTTTTTACTATTATTCTATACTCGAAATAAAAATACTCGAAATGGAACAGAGCATACCAAAGGGAGAACTTTGGAATTTCGAAACTTTTTGTTTTATTTTTTTTTTTTTTGACAATAATTTATTAATTTATAGCAATTAAGGTAAATTGGAATAGATACTATGAATTTGTGCACACTATTAAAATATTTTTTTCCATCTAATCTCGATACAATGAAAATTATCAGGGTAATTGAGAAATCTTTTGTTTTTCATGCATAACTCTGCTATTTTTTAATTTGTCATATTGTTTTTTTTTAGAATTCTATTGCTTTTTTAAAATTTGCACGTAATATCAATAAGGCGTAATGAGAGAAAATCTCAGACTATCTTCAATGTAAAATGTTCTCAGACATAAATTTTTTTTTAAAACTATAAACTTTTTCATTACGCAGAAGAAATAAATTTTATAATTAATAAATTTAATAATTTTTTAATTTTCATATTTTTTTTGTTTTTGTATTTGCAGAAAAAACTTGTAATATAAATGAATTTAGATGCACGAATGGTAATTGTATACCATTAAAATGGCGTTGTGATGGTGAAAGTGATTGTGCGGATGGTTCAGATGAAGAAAGTGGTTTTTGTAGTAAGTATAAAATTTTTACATTATATGTAGAATATATATGTATTTTTAAAACTGTAAGTTAGCAGCTTCTTGCAGCTAATTTAAAAAACAAAAACACTCTTTTAATAATATTAAAAATTTTATAATTTTTGTAGTAATAATAAAAAAAAATTTAATTATTTTAAATAACAAATTTTTAAAGTGCAACAATGTAAACAGAAAGAAAATGAAATTATGTGTAAGGATGGTACTCAATGTATACCGATTGCATGGGTATGCGATCGGGCCTATGATTGTACTGATCATTCTGATGAATTCAATTGCGGCGGTAAGAATAAATGACGATTAATATAATTAAAGGGGAAGATAATACAAAAATTTAAAGAAATAAGCATGATAATTTTAAAATTTAAAATTTTGTTATTCATATTATTTGGTTAAAATAACATTTAAAGAAAAATTAAATACTTAATGCTGGTGTAAATACATGTGTGCATGTGTATTTAGTTTTGAGAACGAAAATTGAATAAATGTTTATGTGATCGCCAAAATTTATATCTTCCAAAAAATAAATAAGAAAAATTTGCTGCGTGAGCGTAAGAAAATTATGCTACAAGTTGACAAGAATTTGAATTTTAACAAGTTCTTTAATAAAATATGGCTATTCTCTTAACTTTTCGTTATTAGTTTAAAAAACGTCTACTGTATATGCATGTAAAACATAAAACCTTCCTATATACAAATTAACGTACATATTTCGTATTATTTCATTTTATTAATTCCAAATGTATATAGACTAAAAATTTTTAAAAACTGAATAACCCTAACCTAACTTTAAACTACATCATTTACTCGTTTTACAAATTCATTGTAACAAAAATATACTATTGACATACGTATGGTATGTAAATTTTTATGTGTGTAAGAATATTGTTCTTTTAGTAATAAAAACTAACATTTAAATTTAATTATTTAACATTAATGTTTTTTGTTATATAATAAAAATTCACTTGGTGTAAAGTGATTTAAACGTTTCGCCAATACAATGTATAACTACATATATAATATACATTGGTTTTTTCCTCCTCGACTTATAATGACATAATTATAAGTAGCTTTTCTCCTTCAAATTGCTTTTTTTTTTAGAAGAGCTATTATATGAGAAATGTCACAAAAAATATTGTTAAATTGAAAATTACATTAACAATATGAGTATGTTTTTTTACAGTCATAATTAAATACATACAAACACAAATTTGAATGTGTATATATACATGTATTCGAATCCATATGAAATCCATAGAAAATTTTTTATGAAAAAAAAACGACCAGATTTTCGCTTATGTAACCTCATGCACGGATGAATTAGTGAACTTTTAATCCCTAGGAAAAAAAAATTTCTAATTTTATCCCTTTTAAATTTTTACTTGTTCGCCTTTTTTGTTTATTTTGTTCTCATCTTTAATCAGTGTTGTCGCTTTTAATATTATTAAATGATTCAGTTGTAATTTTGGGTTAAAAAGCAGTAATAAATTTTTTTTTTCATAATTTATTCGTATTTTATAACTTTCTTGTAAATATTATCAAGTTTTTTCTAATATCTTAAAAATAATAATTTTTTGTTTTAAAAAACCTTCATTCGAAACTCAAAGTCTTAAGAATATTCAATTATTTCCTAAAGTTCCAAATTGCAGAAATATTGAAATAAATTACAGCAAGCCAATGAATAACAAATTTCTGAAGATTATTATTGCATTATTGAATTCAAGAATTGTATCAGATTTGATACCAACTTTTTTAATTTTAATGTATTCGTCAGTATATTATTTACTTTGTTAAACACTAGTACACATAATAATGGTTTATAATGGGTGACACATACAAATAAAAGTAATTGCAAAAGAATGGTTACATTATATAAATCGCAAGAAAAAAAGCAGAAAACAAAATAAAGAACAAAAAAAAGGGCGAAAAAGTTGATTAAGTAATTACGCTCAGTTAACCTTGTACTAACTCAAAAATAGGGAAAAAGCAACATGAAGTGTCAATAAAAAAAACTGACATTTTTCTTTCTTTTGAGTTTAATTGAAGGGCACCATATTTTTGCATATATGTATGTATGTACAGTGTATATATTGTACGCATGTACGTGGGTAAGCAAAAAATAAATTAAAAATTTATACAGCAAATGTGATGATGAATTCACAATTATTGTTAAGCAAGTATGCATAAAAAGTCTAAAATAACTTTTTGGATGGGTTGGAAATAAAAAAAGATGCAAATATTTTTTTTGTTTTTTTTTTTATTAAAAAAAAAAACAAAGAGTTAACTGGCAATAATTTTTTTTTTTCATTTATTTATGTAACATACTTAAAGTTTATTAGATTGCCTATATTTATCCAGTAATTTCTGAAAAATACTTGAACAAGAATGTAGCTTTTCATAGCAACTTAAGCGATAAAAGTTTTTCAAAAAAATAGAAAAAATCTATTTAAATTTCATATATGCGATAGAAACACTTATTTTATTTGAAAAAAATGTAATATTGAACTAAAAAAATAATATTCATAGAATTCACAAGGTCAATAAGTTATAAGTAGATACGTATATAGTAGATTGTACAGAAATATCAAATTTCGTATGAATTCCATGAAAAAAAATTTGTACATGTTTCACATAGAAACAATGAAATTGCAAATGAAACTCACAATATCACATAGTCTTTAAAAGTCTCTGGAAATTTGTGATGAAATATTAAAAATTTTCCCAATCATGAATAACATTAGATGATTTTTTTTTTATTTGGTCTTTATTGTTTTTAATTTTGGACATATCAACGTCAAATTATCCCGGTTCTGTTTATCATTTTACAATATATAAGAAGCCGACGTTCGAAGCACGCTTTCGCTAGTTGTAAATACTTGAATATAACTTAAACATGTATTCGGTTAGTTGGGGTTATTTTGTTCTACACCTGCTGGGGATTTAAATCTTGTATATATCGGACATCTCGATTCGAATTCAGTTTTAGAAAGAAATATTGAACATGTGATTTTCCTTATTCTGGCAAAAAAAAAAAAACGAAAAAATTAATTTCTTTGCCTAACATTTCACTAACAATGTAAAAAGAACTATACATATTCGAAATATAAATTGGATTTGACAATTCAAATTAAAGTTACATGTAAGCGCTTTACAATCGCTATTGATTTCTATATTATGTAAGTACAATATATTGTTACAAAACCGTGAGAAAGAAAATATTTTAACGCGATATATGTATGTAATATGTACATTTAAACTTGTTACATTTAATTGATGCACATAATATGCTTTGTTTAAACTAAATACATGTATATATGTTTGTATATCAAAGATAATTTAAAAAAATTTTCAGTTTTTATCCTTGGTTTTTTTTCTCACTCTGTTGGCGTAACGTTTTTATTATTGTTATCTGAAATAAAAATTGAAATATATATATATATATATATATGAAACCAGAATAACACATAGTGTGTAGGAGGTAATACACTTTGAACAAAATTTATATATATACTCGTATATGGCAAAAACTTATGTACCATTAAAAAATACGTATATATATATACAAAAAATTTTTCAGATATTACATAAAGGACTTAATTTTGTTTATATAAAAAGTGTTCTTTTGGAATTTAATATTAATAAAAAAAAAAAAAGTCTAAAATTTCGAAACGAAAAAAGTTTTTTGTTCATAGAAAAAGTTTTTTTCAGAAATTTTTGTGTTCGACATTGCATATATAAGCGTATTCTTATATGAAAAACAAACTAAGTATAGTCAAATTTAAAGGAAAAACCGAGTTTACCGTAATATATATATATATATATATATATATGTATATGTATGTATTTGTATTGATTATTTATAATATTTAAATATTATATTAAAAGGTGTTCGAATTAACATTGAAAAGTTTAAATATAAAAATCTAATTATAGAAATTTTGGTTTTATTTAAAAAAGACACCAAAAAAAAATACTTTAAAATATTTATAGCTTAAAATATAAACTGAATTTGTGATATTTATAGCATATATATATACATCTAAATAAATTATTTACCTGATATAATAAATTATGTGAATGTGTACCTGCAAAATAAATTAGAACAATCAATATGTACATAAATCTACCCATATACACGTTGTATGGGGTTATGAACCAAAATTTTTCTAAGTATTAAAATAATTAATTAAAAATTTAATTACTTTCTTTTTTATTTAAAAAAAAACAAAACAACCAAAAATATTTTCTTTTAAAATTTAAAAATTTAAGTATAAAATTAATATGAATTTAATTTTGTATACCGGAGGTTGTATGACACAAACATTAAAGAGTTTTTCTGAAAATTTTCTGAAAATTTCACTTTATTTTCATTTTATATCAAAAAATTTTACATTTAATTTTTTATTTTAATCACAATTCTGAACTTTAACATTTACATTTCAATTGTGCTTAGATTCATTAATTGTTGCAGTTAATTTTCGTCACAGTCGATAAATTTCGTTAAAGCCCAGATTCAGCTTAAAAATGTAAAATTGTTGAATTGTTAAGAAAACTCAGCTTTTTTATAATTTTGAAGTCGTGCATTATTCGTATTCGAAAGAGTATTGTAGAGCAAATAATTGAATTTTTCAATTAAAATAATAAATTAATCCCAACATTTTATTTAATGACTTTGTTAAAACAGTAATAATTAATTAATGGCTCCTTTGTTCATAGTACTATCAAATCAGTGTTTATTTTCAATTAACAATATCAGCTTATTTTGATATGAATACGTAGTTCGATTCTTGAATATAAAAAAGAAATTATTTTTATTTGTTAAAAAATATCTCTATAGAATTTATCAATAATTTAAAAGATATGTCATTGCATTTTAACAATGTTTCCATAAAGTTAATTTGAAACGATTATTCCATAAACTCAGTGTATTTTGCACACATAACATTAAGAGATTATTTTCTTTTTACATTTTAAAAATCAAAAAATAAAAGTTAATAAATTATGTATATTCAAAAGTCTATACGCCATCTCTAGATATACATACATATACATTATTTATTGTCTATATTATATTCATACATACATACATTGAACATATTACATTACTTGGTACATTACAAATATACATAAATTATACATTTTCAAAGAATTCTTTTGTCTCTTTTGAGAAAATTTTCAAATCCTTTATATCTTTGTTATCCTTTCAATTTTATTTTACAATTATTTAGAATGCTACCCATTTATATATATATATATATATATATATATATATATATATGTATA